CTAATACAACCTGGATTGATTCCACAGGAAGCTTCCCTGGTTTAAGGTTAAAGGCATGGTGTTAATGGGATGAATTGGGTGGGCTAAAAGTTCTCAGAGCCAGTCTCATGCTGAGAACCACCTGCCCCCTTCCTCTTCCTCCCACACACATGTATGTGCAATTCCCCAGCAGGATATAAGCTGGCATTTCCTGGATATTCAGGGGAGGAAGGTAAAGAGGAACCAGTCCAACCAAAAAGAAGAGCTTCAGGGGCCGGCCCTGTGGCTTAGTGGTTAAGTGCACACGCTCCACTACTGATGGCCCGAGTTTGGATCCTGGGCGTGCACTGACACACCACTGCTCCAGCCATGCTGAGGCCGCGTCCCACATACAGCAACTAGACGGATGTGCAACTATGACATACAACTATCTACTGGGGCTTTGGGGAAAAAAAGGAGGAGGATTGGTAATAGATGTTAGCTCAGAGCTGGTCTTCCTCAGCAAAAACAGGAAGATTAGCATGGATGTTAGCTCAGGGCTGATCTTCCTCACCAAAAGAAAAAAGAAGAAGAAGAAGAGGAGCTTCAGAAAATGAAAAGTACTACTATTTCTCACCCTCTGACCTCTCTCCTTCCTTCAGCCTTTCTCCACAGATATTTTAGGTATGCATCAGACAGCAAAAACAAATGACCTTTACTTTCCGGGAGGAGGAGAGTAGGTGGAGAAAATTACTAAGGGTAGTACAGAGTTTGAGCCTCACACAGAAGAGGACAGGAGATTCAAAGAGTCAAAAGGGCTCAGGTTGAAAGGCTTGGGACTTGGCTTCAGGGCAGAGATTCGAAGACCTGAATGACATGTGGGTACTCATCAGTGCCTGGGACAAGACGGTTTGGTGCTGCATTTGGGTTGGGGGTAAAATGGATGTCAGCTACACATACTAGCTCTTTCCCAAGTCCAGTTTGGGTGCGAACCTGCCCACCGTGAGTGAAGGGGGTGTGTGAAGCCGGGGCATGTGGTAAAGTGTGGAAGCGCATGTATGTGGGCTGTGGAAGAGTCTGAGGGAGGATACGCTGCAGCTTCACGTTGTTGAAGAGCGGGCTCTCCTGAGCTTCCATCACCGTCATGCTCGACTGTTTGTGCAGGCGGCAGAAGGACAGGACCAGCGAGCACCAAGCGGCCAGCTGCTTCTGCCGAGTGTCCACGTTCGGCTGTAACCTGCCGGGTGAAGGGAGTGGGGCGCGGAATTAGAGGGTGAGAGGCAGCACTTGCCGGAGGCGCATTTGGGGAGGCGCATTTGGGGGACAAAGTGAGGGACTGAGGGTGGTGGCGACCAGATCCTTTCTCCCCCTCCCCATTTGAAGCAGCAGGGTTGAGCCCGGGGTCCGGGGGAGGGGAGGGAGGCACAGCGGGGCTTCTCGGGGTCTGAGCCTCACGTAAAGAAGGGCGGGAAGCGATACTGCCACGGCCACTCGAAACTCATCGCCATCGTAGTAACCAGGAAACCCAGAACCTCCAGGCAAAGGACTTCCGGTTTCCGCTTCAGCACGTCCGGGCAGAAAGCACAGCAGAAAGGTTCCGGACGCCTCCCGGGGGCGGGGGCAGCCCGACAGGAGGGATCTTCCTCATTAGCCACTCCCTTGCCATTATCCTAAAAGTCCTTACCATTTAGAGCAGAAAGAGCCCTGAAGAGTCTTCTGATTCGACCCCAGAGAAGAGCAATGACTTCCCCAAAGCAGCACAGTTTGTTAGAACTGCAAGTAGAACCCAGGTCTCCAGACCCCAGCTTAGGCTTGTTTCCACTATGCTAAGCTTCTTTTAATATTAACATTCGTGTCAATTGCCATTTAACTTAAACCCCTCCTCAGTTCCTATGTCCTACTCCACCATTCCTCCCTCTCCTGCACCACCCATGGGAGCACATTTGTAGCTTTTATCACTGGAAACGGCTGATTCAGATTCCATGGTTCAGAGCTGCCATCTTTGACCACTGCCATCTCTCTCTTACCTCTCTCACGTCCTCACTTTCCTAGCCTCAAGTCTCCAGACTCCTTTTAGTCTTATGTGACTCCTTACCCAGTTTAGACTACTGAATTCTGTCCTCTTGCCTGCCTACCAACTGGTCAGTTTCCAAACCAGGGTTGTTGTTCTCTGCCCCCACCACCATCCTCTTTTTCACTCCTGGGCCGCGGAGTATTACTGGAAGAAAATCACAGAACATGCTGGCTGAGCGTCAGATTCTCTGACTAACCTCGCTGCTGGGCTCTCAGTGCAACCCAGCAGTGTCTTTCATTGGTTCCCTGTCACGTACCTCAAGGTAACTCTTCAAACTTTTCCACTCATCAAGGCATTCCACCTGTCCCCATCTCCCCCCTCTCTGCAGAATGTCCTTCCCTTCTACTTTTATGAGACTGAGGCCATGCATATGAACCTCTTAATCTTTCCCTCTCTGTCTGTCACCACACTTGATTCATCCCTTAAAAATTTCTCTCCACTTGTACTCCTTTCTTTTGGACTCAAAGGAAGAAGCATCACTTTTCCTTTACAAGGCCAACCTTTTGGCAGGTCTTCTTGCCTCTCTTTTCCAACTTCCTCCAGGACTTCTCTGTGTATCATCTTCTCTCTTTTCCTTTCCTCTGGCTCCTCTCCCCTAGTCTACAAACATGCTCAGGTCATCCCTGTTTGAAAATATGCACAATTTCCTTGACTCTGCCACCCTCTCAATTTCCTGTCTTATCTCTAACCTTTTCCCCACTCACGTCCATCCTTCATTGTGCAGTTCTTGGTCCATAGAAGTGCCCAACAAATATTTGTTGAATGAATGGAAGAACCATTCAATTGATAATATTCTCTCAAAGGGCACCACCTCCTTTGCTTCTGTGGCACTGCTTTATCCTTGTTCTGCTACTGTCTCTCTGATCTTTCCCTTTCATTTTTTAAATGTGGGTGTTTCCTAAGAACCTAACCTCAGCCTTCTTTTCAAAACACCTTCACTCTTAGAACTCTCATCCCTCTCATGGCTTCACATAGCAGTTCTGTGCAGAAGACTCCTAAACCTATATTTCCAGCTCCAACCTCTTTCTACTACCACCACCACTACTCCCATTTCTAACTTTCTCTGGGACATAACAGCTTGTTCCATTGTTACCTCACATTGTACATCCTTTTTTTCACACCAGCTCCTCCTTCTAATGGCTGTTTTCTATTATTACTTCCATCACTGTTCTAGTAACTCACTTTCAAAGCCTGAGTCAGCTCTAACCTCTCCTCTTCTTCACCTCCTTCATATCCAAAGCCCTGCTGACTCCCTCCCTGTTTTCAATCATCTATCCTACTTTTTAATTATCTTCCATTTCCCCATTCACCACTCCTTTGGCCCACGTCCTCATTTTCTGAAGCCTGGATTATTGCAATTATTTCCTAATTCACTTCCCTTTCTACTCTTTCCCCTGGGGAAATGTACTCCATATAAGGCCTAGTCATGTACCAACTCCACAGTCACCCTCCTGTGATCACACCTCAGCTAGATGTGACCCCTCCTTCCTTTGCACTCAGATATTTGGCTTGTATCCCTTGTATGATACTCATCACACACTCCATTGTTTTTGTTTGTTTGTGCACATGTCAGCTCCCTTACTAGATGAAAGCTATTGAGAGCAGAAACCAACCCCTATCTAACTTATCTTTCCAATACAATATACCATACACAATGTCTTATACCAGCATGCCCTTGATGTATATGACTAAAATGCATGGAGGCAAATATGGGCCAAGAAGAAGATAGATATATCATTGGGGAAGACAGATGCATTCATGGAAAATAGAGAAAAGATTTATCTCAGGTAAAAACTCAAAATGTCCTAGGGAACAGGTATGTCTCTAGAGAGACAGATGTGTCCTGAGAGGAGGAGAAGTGTGTCTCAGAGAATGAATGGATACGTTCCAGGAAGCATACAGGTATATATCTTTGAAATAGACATGCCCCAGGAAATAGATATGCATGTACTCAGGGAGGCAGATATTTCAACAAGGGGGTAAGGAAAGTCCCTAAAGAGGCTCCAGGTGCCACAAGGAATGAACAGGTGTCTTTATGGAGAACAAAGTTGTTCTCTAGTATTTTTGATGGTCGAGCAGGTTTGTCCCAAGGAGAACTGGAGGTGAAGGTTCCCTGGTGAGAACTGGGCCTCACTGTCCAGGGAACATATAGGAGTGTCCGTATATAGAAATGGCAAGTTGCAGAGGCCAGGCATGTTACTAGAAAGTGGGAAAGTATCTTAAAAGAGTATCACTATGGCTCAGGAAGCTGATAGAAGGGCCCAGCTAAGAACTAGTGGTTGCTATGGAGATGACAGGTGTCTGACCCTAGGGTCCAGTCTCCTCAGCTTTGAGCTTCTTCCAGGTAACGTCCATCTTCTGGTTGTTGGCTTTAGTGGACACCAGGGGGCAGTGTGTGGCCAGACTGTAGGCCACACCCCCAGGGTCCAGGACAATGTAGGATGAGGGCCAGGGACCTGGAGAGGGAGTCCTGTGGTGAACCTAGTAGAGGAAGCCCCCACTGCCTTTTGCCCTCAATCTTGAGGTCCTCAGGGATGGACTCCTATTGGTCAGATCAGGGTTCCTATTCCCAGGCCCTGAGCGTAAACTAAGCTGTGAAGAAGAGGAAAATTCAGGGCTTCTGGGTGGCCCCCTTCCTTCTTGCAGGAGTCACAGCAAGAGGTTCCTCCCTTGCTCCTCCCCCCACACCTCCCTAGCTGCTGTCCAGACCGGAAGGGAGTCTCTTCCTGCATGTTTCCTGGAGCTAGGTTTGGATAGGAGCAGGAAAGCCCCCCCTCCTTGGGAGGAAAGAGTGTAGGGGTGTGGCCTTGGGGGAGGGCAGTCTGGGGGGGGGGTGCAGATTAGTGAACAAAACAGTGGGGCTATCCAGATTCTTCCAGCTCTGCTGCCCAGAGCTGAGGGCCTGTGGGAATGGCAGAGACTCTGGGAAGGACACAGTCCCCAGTGGGATGGGGAGGAGACAGTATACAAAAAAGTGCTTTATTTTGAAGATTACAGAATTTGTGCCATGACCCCTCCCGGCTTCCATTTCCACCAATCCAAGGCTCTGTGGTGGGGGTGGGAGTGAGAGAAAGAGGTAGGGAGGGGAGGAGAGAGACCTGGTGGTGGCAGGGGAAAGGAGTAAGATGGCTGCTGAGAAGTTCATGCCACCCTAGGCCTGGGCTTCACTGTCTTTACTTCTCCACACCACAAGGGTGACAAGGAAGGGGATGAGGCAAATGGGGGCTATAATCATGGCCAGGAGCAGATCCTCTGGGGGGTCTGAGAAGGTGGGCTGCACTAGGGAGCAGTTGGCAAAGTGGATCTGATGAGTCTCAAAGATGATCTGTTCTGCCCAAGGATTGGGGAAGCCCAGGCCAAACTCTTCTGCAGTCTGCTCCAAGCAATGTTGCAGGGCGCTATAAGGCCTGGGGGCAGGAGAGGACTAGAGTGAGGGAGAGGTTGGGTCCAGAGAAAGGGGTGCCCCACACTCACTCAACATACACCCACAAGGAGCAGGCCCCGTCGCTGGCCCAAACCACCTCCAGCACTGCTCTTACCTGCTAATCATGGCCCAGTCACACCAATCTTTTTCGATAGTGTCCATATAAATCTTATAACGCTGCCAGCAAAGTTTGACATTTGTCTCATAGTTCTCCACCATTTTCCCTGTGGGCACAGATGCTGCACATTGGCCACACCCCGCCCCTCCCTCCAGGCCCTCTGGTCCAGGTATTTCCACTGAGGAACCACTGTCCCTGTCTTCAAACATGGGAACTAGGAGGAGAGCCTCAGAAAGTTTCCCAAGCAAGACACTTATGGCTGAGGAGAGAGTCCTAGCTCAGGAAAATTTTAATGCCTTCCATGTGCACAGCTCTTCCCAGCCTGACAAGAGCTTCCATGTACACTTTTCCTGGGGTCTTCTAACCCACCTGTGAGGTGGGCCAGCTCAGAGCTGGGAGGAGGCTTTGTGGGAGGAGAGGGAGAAAGAGCACAAGGAACCCCAAGAGAGAACAGAGGGGAGTTAGTGGGGTGCCACTTGAGGTTGGGGCCTGCCTTGTGGGAAAGGGACCTCCCCACCGACCTGGCTCTCCTTCTTGCCCTAGGCCACCCTCCCACAGCTGCTGGGTACTCACCTTCTGACTCCAAGCTGCCCCTGGTGGGACAAAGCTGAGCCATGGACTCCTGGGGCTTCAGGACAGCTGTGGGCAGAAATGGGAGAGGGAGGTGGGATGGCGGGGATCTGGACAATGGAGCGTGGACGCGGGGTGGGAGGGTGGGGGCAGTGGGTTGGAGGCTGAGATCTTTGGAAGTCAGGGCTAGATAGAGAAAGAGGAATAATCCAGGCCCCCACGGGATGCCTCAGTGCAGGGAAGAGAGGAACTGGTATCGGCTCCTTCTCACTCTCATCCCGACCCAAAACCCCCTCCCTTCTCGCCAGCCCCAGACCTCCCAAGACCTCTCCGCGGGCCCCGGCACCCCAGCTTTCCCCAAGTGGGAAGCAGCTTGCGCTGCGCCCTCACTGCGGTGGGGCCAACGACCGTCCGAAGGACAGAGCCTTCTGCACTCGCACCCCGGGTCCCATCCAGCCTCGGCCGTCCAGCCCCCCGCCCCTCCAGGGCCTCCCGTGCCTCCCGCCTGGGCCCCGGGGCGCTGCACTCACCGCCCAGCAGGAGGAGGAGGCGGAGCGCTGCCGGTCGCCCGGCGCGGGTCGCAGGCAGCCGCGGGCCGCCGGCGGTGCGCTCCGCCCGTAGCGAGGCCATCGCGCGGCGAGCAGGCGAGGAGGGGCGGCGGCGCGGAGCCGGGCCCGGGCGGGGGCGCCTATATCCCCGGCCGGAGCCGCAGGAAGCGCGCGGTTTCCTCGCAGGGGCTGGGACGGCTGCGGCCACGTGGGGGGCGGGGGCGACGCCCGGGGCCGGCGAGCTGGAGGGGGAGTCGCTGCCCCACCCGGTCCTGGCGCCCGCCGCTCCGTCCGCCGGGTCGGCGTCGGCGTTGGCCCACCCTTTCTTCTAGCTCACCCTGCGGGGCTGGACAGCTCCCTTAGTAACCCCAGAACCGGGATCCATTTCCTGGGCTCGGCCTCGTGGCGCCCAGGACTCGCCAGGGTCTCGGAGCATCCGCTCCCTGGACTGTAGTCTCCCCTTCTCTTTCGCCGCGAGGTGGGAGGTGGGGAAGTGGGTAGCAGGCTGCTCTAGGGGACCTGGAGAAGAGGGAGGGGGCTGGGAGCTCAGAGGGCCTCTCAACGCCGCAGTATCTAAGACTGGGGGTTGGGGCTGTCCTGGGCCGTGGGGGAGGGGGCGCCTGGAGCTAAGCTCCGAGTTCCCTTTCCCTGGGAACACCCACTGATGTCACCCCGCCTGCCGAAACCGGGGAGGCGGAGAAGAGGGAGCCGGCCCTCCAGAATCGGGGGAAGACCTGGGGAAGGGATAGGGAAGAAATCAAAGTCGAAATACCCTCCCTTCGAGGCACCTCCTGGGGCACAGACCCACTAACCGGATCGAGGGGAGGGACAAAAGTAAGATTACTCCATTCCCAGGAAGAAGGTGGCCACACTCTTCAGGACCGAGAGGTTGTGAGAAAGGAGGGAGTTAGAACCTACAATGTGTGACTTAATTCGTGGGGTGGGTACATTATTAGGCCCATTCTCCAGAGAAAGAAGTCAAAGCTCAAGGGAAAGAGCCCAGAGCTTGAGTTCAGAAACTCTGAGTCCTAATTCTGCCTTCCCACTCCACAACTATATAGCCTGGCATGACTTCAGTTACCTTATTCTCAGTTTCCTCCTGTGTAAAATAGGAACATTACCCTCCTCACTAAACTGTAGTGAGGATGATGTACATGAAAGGGCACTGCACTCACTTGGCAGATGCTAGTTTCCTTTCCTCCTTTCCTAAGGACTTGCCTGAGGTCACACTGCTGGGAAGCAGCAAGCCTGAGCTGGGGCCCCACTTCTGCCACACCACTGCTGTCTCTGTGTCCTGAGCCAGAGCTTCGTTAGACTGAAGCAGCCGAGGAGCCCAGGAGCTGGTTTGGCTTGACGTTCAACTCTAGGCACAGCTGTCAGCACCAAACTTTCCTAAATTACTCCCAGACACTGACCCTTGGACTCAGCTGCTGCTGTTGTCCCAGTTTACTAATTCCTGCCCATCACAAATTATCTTTAATGGTCTCTCTTCAAATCTTTGTCTCAGGGTCTTAGGCTCTCATCATGGTGACTGATAACCTGTTGTCCTCCTCCATAGCTAGGGGCAAGAGGTTGCTTTAGCAAGGCACCCAGAGAGAGAAGAGAGATGGCTCACTTGGCATTAACCCCAAAGCCCTCCTGGTGAGTGTTGTCTTCTGCAATGTGCAGAAAAGAGTCAGGCAGCCTCAGAGCCACTTCAGGCCAGGGACAAAATTCATTCCTTCCCTCCTACCTGTGATTGCCCTTTCCAAGAAGGAAACATGGTCAAGAGGGAGATTTCTGGGTGATAAGATGGGAGAAGGAAGCAAGGAGGGGCAGAAAGCAAAACCAGCCATTTCCACTAGGCTGGGTCCAGAAGAACCTGAGCCCACTGTGGGTTAGAACTGGGGGTGGAGTCAAGATCAAAGGTGACAAAAGCAAATGTTGGGTTTTAAATAGGACAGTATGACATCATTGGTAAAAACAAACATTGGTTAGGATTCTGAAGGCAGGTTCTGCCTCTGTCTTGCTGTGTAACCTGGGGCAGGCCATTTCACGTCTTTGAAGCTCAACATTTTCATGTATAAAATGACCTTAGAATCAAAAGGGAAGGGCTGGCCCCGTGGCTTAGCGGTTAAGTGCGCGGTTCGGATCCCGGGCACGCACCGACACACCGCTTCTCCGGCCATGCTGAGGCGGCGTCCCACATACAGCATCTAGAAGGATGTGCAACTATGACATACAACTATCTCCTGGGGCTTTGGGGAAAAAAAGGAGGAGGATTGGCAGTGGATGTTAGCTCAGAGCTGGTCTTCCTCAGCAAAAAGAGGAGGAGTAGCATGGGTGTTAGCTCAGGGTTGATCTTCCTTACAAAAAAAAAAAAAAAAAGTGGGCCGGCCCCGTGGCTTGGTGGTTAAGTGAGCGCGCTCCACTGCTGGCGACCCGGGTTCGGATCCCGGGCGCGCACCGACGCGCTGCTTCTCCGGCCATGCTGAGGCCGCGTCCCACATACAGCAACTAGAAGGATGTGCAGCTGTGACACACAACTATCTACTGGGGCTTTGGGGGGAAAAAATAAATAAATAAAATCTTTGAAAAAAAAAAAAGAATCAAAAGGGAAAATATAGATGACTTGATAGAAAGTGTTATTTTTAGCCTAGAGTTGTGGTTAAGCTTGCATCATGATGTGGAGACCTCCAAAGGAGAGCTTGTTGTAGTCATTCCTGAACTTGGGAGTCCAAACTCTCTCATTGGAGGAGAATCTGGGCATTTTCTCTCCTCCTGACTTTCCTCTTCCCACTTTTCCTTACCAGTTGGATGTTTGGCTATTTCATTGATCCCTCGGGGCATCCTGGTAACTGGGGGTCTGCTATGGTGGTCTCTTGGGGCTGAATGGAGACTAGAGACCTCATCTTGTTGCCATAGGAGATAGTCCCATGTTGTGCAGCAAGGTGACAGAGAAGGGCTTCATTAGGGACAGAGGCTGGTTGTTTTGTGGGAACTCTCATTTTCCACCCCTGAGGCCCCTACTTTCCCTTTCTAAGCCGACTTCTTCTTTAAAATATATACTTTTTGCTATAAAAATATACTTTTTAATTGCAAGTAATACATAAGTATATACGCAAAATATTTAAATGCAGAAAACTTTATACTCCCATTCCTTTCTCACTCACCTCGCCACATATTTTGGATTTAAAAAAATAAAACCATAAATGGGATTTAATATTCCTGTTGTTCAGTGATTTCTTTTTTTTACTTAATGATACGTCTTGGGTATCTTCCCATGATACTGTGTTTAGATGCGCCTCTTTCCTTTTAACTGTAGTATAATATTGTCTTTAGTCTTTTTTTCTTATATCCAGTGGAGTTTAATCTTTAAGTTCCCTACACACTCCCTTATTCCTCTTTCCCTACCCCACTCCCACCTCTAGTGCTTGGGAAGAGAGGATCTGGTGCTGGTCCAGCTAGACATTGACTTGAGATTTCTGGCCCCAACCTAGAACTGACTTCTCCTGGGTAGGGGTCTTATGGCCATGTAAATTTCCCTCCTTATTATGGGCCAAGGGCCATCCTACTTGGAGCAGGGGGAGAGGTGACTCGATCCTTACAAGGAGTGCCGTTTCTAATCCTCAGCCTTTCCCCTACACACACATATAAACCCAGAGAAACCTAGGGGGGAGTAAAAAGCCCTGGGGGCCTCCTACACAATAAAATTACACGCAGAGCATCCTGGAATTAGCATCTCTACAGTGTAGAGACATTCACTCATGCTGGCCTCTCCCCAGCTGTCTGCAAAATAAAGAGCAGAGCACAGGAGAGGCCGTGGGGGAGAGTCAGGGTCAGGGAAGCCAGAAGTCCTGGCTGGGAGGGGCTGATTCTTGCAAGCTGGACAGAGGAGACAGACTTCTTCAGAGGGAGGCAGCAGGGAGAATCAGAAGAGCTGCAACCAGCAAGCCAGCTGGCTAAGGGAGGGAAGACTAAGGGGTAAGGACACAACTCCTTCATCTCTCCCTAGCCTCCTCATCTCCAGAATGATGGCACACTTGGTATGAGGAGCACGACCACCTCTCAGAGGGAAGAATGGTCATTGGAGAAAACTTTGGCTCTCAAGTTAGCAAAAAGCAGAGAAAATGGTCAAACCAGATTCCTCTTCAATTGCTATGAACTTAGTAGTAGCTACCACTTATTGAAAAGTTGTTATGTGCTGCATAGTGTGTTCCCCGACACATATGTGGAGTGCTTTTCATGCATTTCTTAAAACCTTACCATAACATCAGAATTGTCTTGTCCATGGGTGAAATGGGGAAATAGGAGTGATTTGCCCAAGGTCCCAGAGGTAGTAATTGGGAGTGAGGATTTGAACCCAGGACTGCTTGATAGTAAGCTTCATGTCTTCTTCTTCTTCTTCTTTTTTTTTTTTTTTGTGCAGAAGATCAGCCCCGAGCTAACATCCATGCCAATCCTCCTCTTTTTGCTGAGGAAGACTGGCCCTGAGCTAACATCCATGCCCATCTTCCTCCACTTTATGTGGGACGCCGCCACAGAATGGCCTGACAAGCAGTGCATCGGTGCGTGCCCGGGATCTGAACTCAGGCCGCCAGTAGCGGAGCGCGCGCACTTAACCGCTACGCCACGCGGCC